TTATCCATCATGACCAAGTAGGCTTCATCCCAGGGATGCAAGGCTGGTTCAACATACACAAGTCTATTAACATAATCCACTACATAAACAGAACCAAAGACAAAAAAAACCACATGATTATCTCAATAGATGTAGAGAAGGCCTTTGAAAAATTCAGCAGCCCTTTATGCTAAAAACTCTCAATAAACTAGGTATCAAAGGAACATATCTCAAAATAATAAAAGCTATTTAGGACAAACCTACAGCCAATATCATACTGAATGGGCAAAAACTGGAAGCATTCCCTTTGAAATCTGGCACTAGACAAAGATGCCCTCTATCACCACTCCTATTCAATATAGTATTGGAAGTTCTAGTTAGAACAATTAGGCAAGGAAAAAAAAGGGGGTATTCAATTATGAAAAGAGGAAGTCAAATTGTCTGTTTGCAGTCGACATGATTGTATATTTAGACGAACCTATCATCTCAGCCCAAATCTCCTGAAACTGATAAGCAACTTCAGCAGAGTCTCAGGATACAAAATCAATGTGCAGAAATCACAAGCATTTCTATATACCAATAACAGAGAGCCAAATCAAGAGCAAACTCCCATTCACAACTGCTACAAAGAGAATAAAATACCTAGGAATACAACTAACAAAGGATGTAAAAGATCTCTTCAAGGAGAACTACAAATCACTGTTCCAGGAAATAAGAGAGGACACAAACAGATGGAGAAAAATTCCATGTTGATGGTTAGGAAGAATCAATATTTTGAAAATGGCCATACTGCCCAAAGTAATTTATAGATTCAACACTATCCCCATCAAGCTACCAATGACCTTCTTTACAGAGTGGGGAAGAAAACCACTTTAAACTTCATATGGAACCAAAAGAGAGCCTGCATAGCCAAGACAATCCTAAGCAAAAAGAACAAAGCCGGAGGCATCACACTACCTGATTTCAAACTATACAACAAAGCTACAGTAATCAAAACAGCATGATACTGGTACCAAAACAGAGATATAGACAAATGAAACAGAACAGAGGCATTGGAGCCAATGCCACACATCTGCAACCATCTGATCTTTGACAAACCTAACAAAAAGAAGCAATGGGGAAAGGATTCCCTGTTTAATAAATGGTGTTGGGAAAACTGACTAGCAGTGTGTAGAAAGCAGAAACTGGACCTCTTCCTGATACCTTACACTAATATTAATTCCAGATGGATTAAAGACTTAAACCTAAGGCCTAACACCATAAAAACCCTAGAAGAAAACCTAGGCAAAACCATTCAGGACATAGGCATAGGGAAGGACTTCATGACTAAAACACCAAAAGCACTGGCAACAAAAGCCAAAATAGACAAATGAGACCTAATTAAACTCCAGAGCTTCTGTACAGCAAAAGAAACAATCATTAGAGTGAATTGGCAACCAACAGAATAGGAAAAAATTTTTGCAGTCTACCCATCTGACAAAGGGCTAATATCCAGAATCTACAAAGAACTAAAACAGATTTACAAGAGAAAAGTAAAGAAACCCATCCAAAAGTGGGCAAAGGATATGAAAAGACACTTTTCAAAAGAAGACATATATTAGGCCAACAAACATATGAAAAAATGCTCATCATCACTGATTATTAGAGAAATGCAAATCAAAACTGTTGAGATACCATCTCACACCAGTTAGAATGGTGATCATTAAAAAAGCTGTAGACAACAGATGCTGGAGAGGATGTGGAGAAATAGGAACACTTTTACACTGTTGGTAGGAGTGTAAACTAGTTCAACTATTGTAGAAGACAGTGTGGCGCTTCCTCAAGGACCTGAAAATAGAAATTCCATTTGACCCAGCAATCCCATTCCTGGGTATATACCCAAAAGATTACAAATCATTCTATTATAAAGACACATGCACATGTATGTTCATAGCGGCACTGTTTACAATAGCAAAGACCTGGAACCAACTCAAATGCCCACTGATGATAGACTGTACAAGGAAAATGTGGCACATATACACCATGGAATACTATGAAGCCATAAAAAAACGATGAGTTCATGTCCTTTGTAGGGACATGGATGAACCTGGAAACCATTATTCTCAGCAAACTGACACAAGAACAGAAAATCAAACACCGCATGTTCTCACTCATAGGTGGTGTTGAACAATGATACACAAGGACACAGCGAGGGGAGCATCACACACTGGGGTCTGTTGGGTGGACCAAAGGAGGGACAGCAGTGGGGTTCAGGAGAGACAACATGAGGAGAAATGCCAGATATAGGCGACAGGGGGATGGAGGCAGCAAACCACATTGCCATGTGTGTACCTATGCAACAATCCTGCATGATCTGCACATGTACCCCAGAACCTAAAGTACAATTAAAAAAAAAAAACAAGGAAAAAAAAACCAATAGTGCTTCTAAATGAATTAAAGGATAAATACACTGTGTAGTCTGAATACCTTTTAAAATTATAATAGAATAAATTCTAGATGAATGCATTTATGAATTACATACTTTATAATACTTCATAGCTTATCCCAGTCTCTAACATTTATTGTTAATATTTACCAGGCCATGTCACTTATCATGCCTACTTAATCCTCACAACAATCCCACAAGGTAAGTAATGTTATAATCCAAATATATAGATGAAGAAATTAAAACCTAAAGAACAGGGGACATAATTAAACTACAGAGCTTCTGCACAGCAAAAGAAATAATCAAAAGATTAAACAGACAACCTACAGAATGGAAGAAAATAAGGGCTCATTTGACGAAGGGCTCATACCCAGAACCTACAAAGAACTCAAAACAACTCAACAAGAAAAAAACAACCCCATTAAAAAGTGGGCAAAGCACATGAACATATATTTTTCAAAAGAAGACATACAAGCAGCCAGCAAACATGAAAAAATACTCCACATCACCAATAATCATAAAAACGCAAATTAAAACCACAATGAGATGCCATCACACACCACCAGAATGGCTATCATTAAAAAGTCAAAAACCAACAAATGTTGGCAAAGACGCAAAGAAAAGGGAACACTTATACATTGTTGGTGGGAATACAAATTAGTATAACCTCTGTGGAAAACAGTATGGAGATTTCTCAAAGAACTAAAAATAGAACTACCTTTTTATCCAGGAATCCCACTACTGAATATCTTCCCAAAGCAAAAGAAGTTATTATATAAAAGAAATAATTGCTGGGCACAGTGGCTTATGCCTGTATTCCCAGCACTTTGGGAGGTTGAGGCGGGAGGATCACTTGAGCCCAAGAGTTTGAGACCAGTTTGGTCAACATAGGGAGACTCTGCCTCTACAAATAATTTTTTAAAATTTAGCCTGGCATGGTGGTGTGTGATTATGGTCCCAGATACTCAGGAGGCTGAGGTGGGAGGATAGTGTGAGCCCAAGAGGTTGATGCTGCAGTAAGCCATGATCACACCATTGTATTCCAGCCTGGGCAACAGAACAAGACCCTATCTCAAAAAAAATCATTATATAAAAAAGCCACCTGCACTTGTATGATTATCACAGCACTATACACAATAGCAAAGTCATGGAATCAATCTAAGTGTCTATCAGTGGATGACTCGATTAATATGTGGGATATAATTACACCATGGAATACTACTTGGCCATAAAAAATAACAAAATCATGTATTTTACAGCAACATGAATGGAACTGGAGGCCATCCTTAGTGAAATCATGCAGTAACAGAAAGTAAAAAAACACATGTTTTCACTTGTAAGTGACAGGTAAACAATGGGCACACATGGACATACAGAGTAGAATAATAGACATTGGAGACTCCAAGAGGTAGGAGGGTGAGAGGGGGTGAGAGATAAAATACTATTTGGTACGATGTACAGCATTTGAGTGATGGGCACACTAAAAGCTCAGACTTCACCACTATGCAATATATACATGTAATACAACTGTGCTTGTAGTCCTAAATCCATTAAAAAAAACTTAAAAGAAAAGTACTCCGCTAACACCAAACAACCAGGATTCAAACTCATCTTCTCATTTCAATCTTAAACAAAATGTTATGCTAACTCTACTTATAGTAAAAAAGTTTATCTTTAATTGCAATTACTGATTCTTTATTAAGTTTCTAAATAAGTGAAACCATTTCTGAGAAATGCCTGGAACTTGACATATAATAGGAAAATGAATATTTCTCATTCATTCCACAAACATTTCCTGAATATCTACTAGGTAAGCCAGGCATCGTTCTAGGCGAGGGGTGAATGAAACAAAGTCCTTGCTCTATGAGTTTAGATTTCTTTCCTGAAATATTTATGATTATAATCACATAAAAAGTAAGCAAATCTTACATTTAGAAAACATTATCTGAACCAACATTTTAAGTTTAGTTCATTTGTGAACTATATAACTAAACTCCTGAATGCCTCAGTGAAATTCCTCAATTTCTCCACAAGGGACTGTGTTCTAGCTAGTCCACTGAAATACATGCCTTTGGCCCCAAAAGGGACTGGAGGAATTAATCCGTTCAAGTCATTCCTCAGGACTGGGAATCATCTTAAAACTATTCAACTTTTATGGAGTACTTAGGAGCTGCATACTAACTGTAAAACATAAAGAATAAGGGAGAAATGTTAGGTGTGCTCCTGAAGAAAATAGACTGATACAAAAAGAACTAGGACCACCTTGAGAATGACCCTTGTTAATCTAAGGCGGTTTGCTAATACTTTCTTCAAGACTTGGCTAAAAACATCTTCTATAAGCCAGCACTGAACTCCTTAGGTATGTTTAGTGGGTCTTTGCTCTATGTGAACCCATAGCAGTTTGTGATGGCAAATCATTTGATTAGCAGCATGTCTGTGTGTAGCTTTAGGGAAGTACTAAGTGATAAAAAAGGTTAAATGAATGTGCTTGCCTATTTTAAGACAAATCCTCTCTAGCCCTAAATTATGCTATAAAGATCAGCAAAATAGTGCTAAGGAAAGTAAAGACCAGAAAAATTAAACCTACACATTTTACCTTTAAAGATAGGGATCCAGCTAGAAAAAAGTGGTCTACATCAATAACAGATGCTAAAAATCCAGCTAAAATGATTTCTCCGAAGTCAGTCCTCTTCTTGATTCCAATGACTACTGCCCATGACCACATGCCAATCATACAGTGTACTGCATTATCTGAGAGAGCGCGAAGCCAGTCATTTTGCTGAATTGTGGAAAACTGAAGAAGTCTGTCAGCTACAAGGCAAAATACCCCCAGACCAAGGCTGGAAATAAGAGATTCAGTGCTACAAGTCTGCAGTAAAGCATGGGTCTTTTCAGTCTCAGATGCCATCACAAACAATATGTTAGTATAGACTAAAAGCCATCAGGAATGAACGGTCTATTCTTCTTTATATTTTCAGCACCCTAAAGGAGAAAGTAGAGAAAAATGTGAATGAAGATTATGGACTGCCATACAATGTTTAAACAAAACAGTATCAGCAATAATTGCACAAATATAAAACCAAGATGCAAATACTGTCATTTCTTACATGTTATATATAATATGCCACACAGCTCAAGGAGAATAGTATATTTAGGAACAACAGGGTACATGGTATGCATCAAGGAGAATTTCAGAAAGCCCACCAACTGCAATCTCTTGCTTTAAGGTCATCAAATAGTTCTATCTCTCAGCTGTGTGTACTATAGGGTGGTGAATATCCATTCAGTTTGTGTATCCAACATCTGACAACAGTAACCCCTTCCTTTGGGAAAACTTTCTCACATTAAACTTCAGAATTCACCAATTAGAGTTTTCCATTTCCCTAATAATGGTGATAAATTTAGTAATGAAAGTAGCCAATCAGACTCCTTTCCAAAACTTTTCTTAGTGGAGCTGGTAGAGAAAGTTCCTCTTCATCTCGAAGGCCATGGGCTTCACTACATGAAAAAGCATAAGAAAATAAAATCCCAGAGAGACAAGACAGGAGAAAGGCTAATAGAATCATGAAGACAGTGAGTACTTATGTCCAATGTCTAAAGGTTCTCAGAGCTACCCTAGATCTTGCAGCTCACCCTCCACTTCTATGAGCTACCCTAGCATTTTCCCAATAAATCCCCTTTTCATTTCTGTTGCCTTGAACCAAATAACCTTAGCTGATATAAAACTGATATAAAAATTCAATCATAATTCTATGCTGAGTTCTCACCTGGCACAGAATATTGACATTATTTACCTAGCTAGAAAGTATTTGTCTACCCCAGTCTCTTGAGTAGCTGGAGCCATAGGTGTGTGTCACCATACTTAATTTTTTTTTTCTTAAAAGAGACAGGGTCTCCCTATCTCAGGGAGGCCTCAGACTCCTGGCTGGTCTTGAACTCCTGGCCTCAAGTGATCCTTAGCTTCTGAAAGTGCTGGGATTACAGGTATGTGCCACCATGCCCAGCCTTGTCAATTAATTTTTGATAAAGGTGCAAAGATACATCAATGATGGAAAAATATTCTCTACTGCAGCAAAGATGGCTATGCTGGTGTTTGAATTGCCTCTTGGGAAGGGTTGCAGATTTTATAGTGCAGCATAATGCCATGTGCGTCCATGGATGAGACGACACACATGTTAAGTTTTGTGGCCTTCCAGCACTTATTATTTTCAGCTTTAAAGCATGCTTAGAAGGAAAAGCTTATCAAAAGTATATTTTGACGTTTAGTTTTCCAATAATTATAATCTTGCCCATAGTATTTACCTCATTTTTGTGTGTTTTGCTGTGGGTAAGCTTTATAAGATAAATAATGTCTATATATGTTTCTAATGTTTAATGAGTAATCAACAAAATCTGCCAGGGAGTCCCTCTGGAACCATATAAAGCTCCTGGCTTTGAATGAGCCAGAAGTGTTTGTCCACATGGCAAATGATCCATGTTAAATGTAAATACTTTTTAGTGTTAATGTCTGTTCTCATAAGCAGGTATATTATGATGAAACGTACCAATTCTGTCATCATTGTGATCTTTAAAAACCTGCATTTAACAATCTAATTGAGGCCAATTGTGGTGGCTCATGCCTGTAATTCCAGCAATTTGGGAGGCCAAAGTGGGCAGATCATTTGAGGTCAGGAGTTCAAGACCAGCCTGGCCAACATGGTGAAACCCTGTCTCTACTAAAAATACAAAAATTAACCAGGTGTGGTGGCACACAACTGCAATCCCAGCTACTCAGGAAGCTGAGGCACAAGAATTGCTTGAACCTGGGAGGTGGAGTTTGCAGTGAGCTGAGATGGCACCACTGCACTCTGGCTTGCGTGACAGAGTAAGATTCTGTCTCAAGAGAAAAACAAAAACCTAAAACCAAAACAAACAAACCAAACAAAAAATCTAATTGGAGAACTAAGTTAATTTATTATTTGCCATAAACCAAGCAAAAGTAAATGTAATAATTTCAAAAGATTTATAAACAAATCTGAGGTATGGACAAATCTTTTTTTTTTTTTTTTTGAGATGGAGTTTCACTCTTGTTATCCAGGCTGGAGTGCAATGGCACGATCTCGGCTCACCACAATCTCTGCCTCCTGGGTTCAGGCAATTCTCCTGCCTCAGCCTCCTGAGTAGCTGGGATTACAGGCACGCACCACCATGCCCAGCTGATTTTTTGTATTTTTAGTAGAGACGGGGTTTCACCATGTTGACCAGGATAATCTCGATCTGGATAAATCTTTCACTTATTTTTTATTGCTCTTTAGTAAAGCAAGGCACAAAAAAGAAAATATCCAGGTCTCTTGTGTTATATCAGTGTGGTGACTGCATAAAATCGACAATGCTTGCCTGTGTAAATTTATGTCTTACTGTCAAAGCTTCATTCTTGACTGCATGTTGAAAATATGATTAAAATTAATAGAGAAGATAAAATAAGTATTTGAGATTTTTTTCAATAACACTGAACTTCTGCCAGTTTTTTCTGTCTGCTATTGTAGGCTTCGCAGCCTCATCAATCATTTGCTTGTGCCTGGACTAAAAAGTGCACTTGCTGATGCCAAGGCATGTTGGAATTTTCTTAATTCTCTTTCAGTGAGTGGAAAAAAAAAATACTTCCAAAAATATCCTACACATGAAAACAGAAGGGAGCCTTAAATAAAAATTCCCTTTGTACCACAGACAGTTTTTGGAATGCGATTGATTGCCAACATATCATTGAATGAATGTTGTAACCAAGAAATTAAGATTGTGTGAGTGGAAATATATGCTTAACCGTGGCTACTACACTTGTATAGCAAAGGTTTCTGTTAGTTTGCATTCATCTCATGTGAAAAATAAATACTTTATCAGGCTGGGTGCAGTGGCTCAAGCCCTGTAATATCAGCACTTTGGGAGGCTGAGGTGGATTGATCATGAGGTCAGGAGATCAAGATCATCCTGGCCAACACAGTGAAAGCCCATCTCCACTAAAATATGAAAAATTAGCCAGGTGTGGTGGTGCGCGCCTGTAGTCCCAGCTATTCGGAAGGTTGAGGCAGGGGATTGCTTGAACCTGGGAGGCAGAGGCTGCAGTGAGCCGAGATTGTGCCACTGCACTCCGGCCTGGCGACAGAGCAAGACTCTGTCTCAAAAAGAAAAAAAGAAAAAAACTTTACCTTAAAAAAAATAGTATCACTATTTTGGAAAAACAGTTTTCCAATTTCTCAGAAAGTTAAACATACTCTTACCATATAACCCAGTCATTCCACATGTAGGTATTTTCCCATAGGCACTGCGTACAGAAAGGCTTACACATGAATGTTCATAGCAACTTTATCTGAATTTGTTCCAAGATGGAAATATCTATAACATGTAAATAAACAAAAGGTGGCCTAAAAAGGAACATACGACACACATAAAAACATGAATGAATCTTGATTATAGTAAGTGGAAGAAGCCAAACAAACAAAAAGTACACAGTTAAAACCCATAGAACTGTACAACACAAAGGATGAACCCTAATTTAAAGTATGAACTTCAGTCAATAACATATCAATATTCATTCATTACTCATAACAAATATACCACACTATTGCAAATGTTAATAATGGGGATTATGCAGGGCAAAGAACATCTATGGGAATTCTCTATAATATTGGCTCAATTTTTCTGTAAACCTACAACTGCTGTTTAGGTTTATGTATTAGCCTGTTCTTGAATAGAACTACCTGAGACTGGGTAATTTAATAAAAAAAAAAAAAAAGGTTTAATTGGCTCATGGTTCCACAGGTTGTATAGGAAGCATGGCTGACGAGGCCTCAGGAACTTACAATCATGGTGCAAGGTGAAGAGGAAGGAGTCACGTCTTACATGGCCAGAGTAGAAGAGCAAAGTGGAAGGTGCTACACACTTTAAACGGCCATGATCTTGTGAGAACCCACTCACTTTACTATCATGAGAACAGCTAGGGGGAAAACTGCCCCCATGACCCAGTCACCTCCCACCACGTCCCCTCCTCCAATACTGGGGATTACAATTTGACATGGGATTTGGTTGAGGACACAAATCCAAACCATATCAGTTTATAAAGTTTATTAATTTCAAAAACTTACAAAAACTTAAAGTCCATTTATTTTAAAAAATTAAATAAATGAAGTAGTCACCAAAAAATATTATAAATTTAGGTGACAGGCATACTGCAGTTCATTATATTGTTCTCCACTTTTCTGTATGCTTGAAATTTTCATTTAGAAATGTTTTTATTAAACTTATTTATTTTTGGAACAGGGTCTCACTGTGTTGCCCAGACTGGAGTACAGTGGCTTGATTTTGGCTCACTGCAACCTCGACATCCTAGGCTCAGGTGATCCTCCTACCTCACCTCCTGAGTATCTGGGACTACAGGCATGAGCCATCATCCCTGGCTATATGTTTCCATTTTTATTTATTTAATAAAAAAATTCTTTATTTTTTGAGACAGAGTCTTGCTCTGTTGTCCAGGCTGGAGTGCACTGGTGTGAATATAGCTCACTGCAATATCTACCTCCTGGGCTCATGAGATCCCCCTACCTCAGCCTCCTGAGTAGCTGGAACCACAGTCAGAGTTGACCATGTCTGGCTAATTTTTTTGTAGAGATGGGATTTCGCCATGTGACCCAGGCTGGTCTGAAACTCCTGGCCTCAAGCAATCTTCCCACCTCAGCCTCCCAAAGTACTGGGATTACAGGTGTGAGCCATTATACCTGGCCTAGAAATATGTTTTTAAAAGGAGTATACAGTATAATTCTACTTAAAAATCTACAAAATACAAACTTATTTACAGTGACAGAAAGCAGATCCATAATTTTCTGGAGACAGTAGAGGCAGGAATAATTAAAAAGGAGCATAAGAAAACTTTGGTAAGAGACACATATGTTCATTATCTTGACTGTGGTGATATTTTAATGGTTCACAGCTTCACACATATGTCAAAACAT